AAACATTGCAGGCTAAAAATGAACCTGCAGGGAAGAAGCCAGCTGACAAGAACGACCCCAAGAGGTCTAGCAGTGACAGGAGACACTCCACTGACTCCAAGTAAGACTGCCAGACCGTTGACTTGTGTTTGAGTGATATCGCTAAAAGTGCCTCTTCTGCTGGGAAAATTTGGCCCAGTGAGCTTTTAAATATCACAGGTGTATTTATATTTTTAGCATGCCATGTGTCTGGGTAGTTTGTCAGACATTTAGCCCTTTGTATAAACCAAGATAAGGATCAGGTTAACTGTTCAATGATTTCTGACAATATGGATGTTTCTGCAGGTCTGATGGAAAGGATGAGAAGTCTGAGGGTGAAGGAAAAGATGGCAAAGGTGTGAGATGTGTTAGAATTTCCACCTGGACATGATTTTAAAAAAAAAAAACAACCTTTATTACATACTTGACATTAATAATTATGATTTTTTGACAGGACGAAATGAGAGGACTGTAGTTATGGACAAGTCCAAGGGAGAGCCTGTTATCAGTGTCAAAACCAAAAGCAAAAGCAAGGAGAGGGTAAGTAATGATTAATGACCCTGTAACTGCCATCTCCCTCTTAATCAGTGTTGTTTTGTTGATGCATGAAGTGGTTAGATCATGCCCGTCTTCACACTCTTCTGCTCTTTCTTCAGAGCTCCAAGAGTCGGGACCGAACTTCTTCGAGTAAGGAGAGGAAAGACATCTTGTCATTTGATCAGATTAAGGAGCAAAGGGAGAGGGAGAGACAAAGGCAGAGGGAGAGGGAGATCAGAGAGGTCGAGAGACGCAGATTCACGTAAGGATCATGAATACAGAAATAACACTTAGCCCATCGTGGAGCTTAACAATGCAGAATGTATTCATAAAGACACTTCTATATATTAGCAGTTAGCTGAGGTTTTGATCGGATAATAAATAGCAGCTGATCTTTGCTGTTTTCATTCAGTGATCGCAATCGGGAATTCCGACCTGACCGAGAGCGTGAGCGGATCCGTCTCTTCCGGGAGAGGGAGGAGCGAAACCACTTAATGAGGAAGAGACACTGGTTGGAGGTACCGTCACATGACTCCTCTCTGCCTCCAAATATGCGTCCTTTGGTACAACTCTCAATCCGATGCACTCTGCACATAATCACTACATTTGCTTTCATTCCTCCCATATAAACACTTCTCAGCTTAATCTCTGTTAGTTCTAAAAATGTATGAATTAACTGTAAGCAAACGATTTTATTTGCAGGCTGAGAAGCAGCGTCTCGACGCAGATCGCATGGAGCGTCAGTTCCTGGAGCGCGAAAGGCTACGCATCGAGTACGAAAGGCGGCGAGAGCAGGAAAGGATCCTCAGGGAGCGCGAGGAGCTGAGACGGCAGCAGGAGCAGCTGCGGTATGAACAGGAGCGGCGCCCCGTTAAGAGGCCTTACGACATGGACGGCAGGTACAGTGACGTGTGTGTGACACTGATGCATGCTGCGTTTA